GGAGGAGGGAGGATGATCGAAGAAGAAAACACCGCCATAGACATAAGCCACGCCGCCGTCTGAGAAGGCCTTCTCCTTCTCACTTCCCCCCCTCGCTCGCCGCCGATCCTACTCCTCATCCCTGCGCTTCTCTCCCCCTATCCGCCTCATCGTTCCTCTTGGAAAAGGAAAAACCGCCATAAACATAAGTTTTTGGCGCTCCGCACGGATTGCTTGGATCCGCACTGGGCCCCCCCGTCGGCGCCTCTGGCGCCGCCCCTGGCGCGCTCCGCGCGCCAGTGAGGGGGGCCCAGCGCAGATCCAAGAAATCCGCGTGGAGCGTCAAAAACGTATGTTTAGGGCCTCTTGAGAAGGCCCGCTCCTTCTCACTTCCCCCCGGGCTTGCCGCCGACAGGAGGAGGAGGAGGAGGAGGAGGAGGAGGAGGAGGAGCCGGAGGAGGAGGAGGAGGAGGAGGAGGAGGAGGAGGAGGAGGAGGAGGAGGAGGAGGAGGGAGGGAGGGAGGGAGGGAGGGAGGGAGGGACGAGGATGAGGAGGAGGAGAGGGGGAGGAGGCAGGAGGGGGCTGGGGGAAGAGCGCCCCACGGCAGGAGCGAGGCTTCGGCTTCCTCGCGCCCGCTGGTGGTGGCGACGACGCCCTCGCCCCAGTGGAAAACGACAGTACAGTCGGCCCTGATTAGTAGGTCGACCCTGCCAAGTCAAGGGTACCCTTGTGTCCTGTGCCTCGCGACCCATGACTCCTACATGCCTATGGCAGCGTGCCCCTCGGAAAGGGTCTCTTGTCCTCTCGCGTGTCCTCTCCAGTCAAGTGTAGGATGATTAGAGGAGCAGGCTGGTGAGGAAGAAGAGGATGGACGAACAACTGTTCCCCAGCGTGTACCCCAAACAGAGAGGCATTGCAGCTTGAAAGTGCAAGCCATGTAGTGCAGCGGCAACGGGGCGGCAGGCGGCAGCGGACGGCAACGTGGCGAATCCTCGACACACACCCCAAGGGCGGCAACGGGCGAAAGTGAGCAGCAATGTAGCGAATCCTCGACATACCAACCAATTCCGCAGGGAGACAAGCACGAACCCCAAAGTGCCAGCCTTGTTTGGGGAATCCTGACGGCCAAGCATCCAGCCATTGGGTTCGAAGTTTTCTAGCGCGTTCGTCAGACCCTGGAGGTGTTCTAGCCGCTGGGTGCTCTCCAGCAGCTGCGCCTCGTCGAGAGCGTTGCGGGGGTGCTTGTATCGTCTTGAAGCCGTTGGAGGCCCGAGTTATGGCCCGAAGCCATGCCTCTTCTCGCGAGAGGCCGTAGACGAACGGCTCGAAGCGCTTGTCCCGGGGAACGGATCCAGACCCCCAGGGGCTTGAGAAACACGACGTCGGACGACGATGGGGGGCGAAGATGGAGGGGGGGGGGGAGGGGTGGAGGAGGAGGAGGAGAAGGAGGAGGGGAAGCTTCGATACCGGCGGTCGCATTCGCAGTGTGAGGGAAGAGTTTGGGTCACCACCAGAGGAGCAGCTGGATGTGAGAGCGGGAAGGCCAGGCGGGATCACTTGCCAAAGAGACCTTCGATTCGAATGCAGCTGGACACCGGCATGGGTCACTCTTGTATTCCAGCTACCGTTGCTCATGGTTCCTGCCACGCAGCATATGGTAGCGCAGTTGCTCGCCTTCTGCTCCCAGACGTCCGATCTATTGTTTTTGTTGATGCGGGGTGCGGGGTTCCCGCCAGTCCCAGTCCCCAGGGCCGGTTTTGTATCTTGGGTCGGTTTTGGCGGTCCTGGGGCCCAGCGAGGGCCCCCAGCGGCCGAAAACGACGAGACTTCCATATTGAGTTTTCAATACGCTGGAGGTCTGG